AGTTCACAACAGATTCGACCCAGGTGGTACTGCAGGTGCATCAGGTGCTTTCGCATCCAGAGTACGACGATTCGACCATGCAGTACGATTTTGCCCTGGTGGAGTTGGTGGATGCAGCGCCCTTGAGTGAATGCATTGGGTCAGCATGTTTGCCCAGTGAGGACGTCGCTGACGGCGAGGAGTGCTTCATCACTGGGTGGGGGACCCTCTCCTCTGGAGGGTCCTCGCCCGACTTGATGCAGGAGGCGCAGGTGAACGTCGTGAGCAACACAGACTGCGGTGCTGCCTACGGCAGTGAGGCCATCACCGCTGACATGATGTGCGCGCAGGGCGTCAACAGCGCTGGGGAAGTCACCGACGCCTGCCAGGGGGACAGTGGCGGGCCGCTCGTCTGCGCTTCTGGCGGCGCTGCTTATTTCTTGCACGGAGTGACATCGTGGGGCTATGGGTGCGCATCGGAGCAGTACCCGGGAGTCTGGTCTCGGGTCAGCTACGTGCGTGATTGGATCGACGAGCTGATGGGGTTGACTGCGCCGACACCAGCGCCTCCGCCAACACCGGCTCCCCCTCCGACGCCTGTCCCGCCGCCGACGCCAGCTCCCCAGCATATGTGGGTGGCCATCGTCGGCCAGTGCACGCTAGACGGCACCTGTGTGCAGAGCGCGAACTACCCGCAGGATTACGGTGCAGACGAGGCGTGCACGATCGAGGTCGACATGGCAACTGCGGTGCCGATCATCGTAGAGAGTTTCGACACAGAGGCATTTTTCGACTACCTCACAGTCAATGGATTAGAGTACTCTGGAACTTCGGGTCCCGATGGGGTCACTCCGACGGGGAGCATGATGTGGTCATCCGACTTTACAGTGCAGAGCAGCGGGTGGAGATTGTGCATGGCAACGCCTACCCCGGCGCTACCACCGACGCCTGCCCCGCCGCCGACGCCAGCGCCGCCACCGACGCCAGCGCCTCTGTGCGGCACCAAGGGCCCCGACGACACTCCTTGGGACTCGGAACGCAGAGAGCGCATCGTGGGGGGGCAGGACGCCACGCCGTGCGAGTGGAGGTGGCAGGTCTCGCTCCGGTCTTCGTACCACTTCTGTGGAGGAGCGCTCATCGCCCCGACATGGGTCCTCACTGCTGCCCACTGCGTGGGGGGGTCTTTCTCCATCGTGGCGGGCAGCTACAGCCAGTTCACAACAGATTCGACCCAGGTGGTACTGCAGGTGCATCAGGTGCTTTCGCATCCAGAGTACGACGACTCGACTATGCAGTACGATTTTGCCCTGGTGGAATTGGTGGATGCAGCGCCCTTGAGTGAATGCATTGGGTCAGCATGTTTGCCCAGTGAGGACGTCGCTGACGGCGAGGAGTGCTTCATCACTGGGTGGGGGACCCTCTCCTCTGGAGGGTCCTCGCCCGACTTGATGCAGGAGGCGCAGGTGAACGTCGTGAGCAACTCAGACTGTGATGCTGCCTACGGCAGTGAGGCCATCACCGCTGACATGATGTGCGCGCAGGGCGTCAACAGCGCTGGGGAAGTCACCGACGCCTGCCAGGGGGACAGTGGCGGGCCGCTCGTCTGCGCTTCTGGCGGCGCTGCTTATTTCTTGCACGGAGTGACTTCGTGGGGCTATGGGTGCGCATCGGAGCAGTACCCGGGAGTCTGGTCTCGGGTCAGCTACGTGCGTGATTGGATCGACGAGCTGATGGGGTTGACTGCGCCGACACCAGCGCCTCCGCCAACACCGTCTCCCCCTCCGACGCCTGCCCCGCCGCCGACGCCAGCTCCCCAGCATATGTGGGTGGCCATCGTCGGCCAGTGCACGCTAGACGGCACCTGTGTGCAGAGCGCGAACTACCCGCAGGATTACGGTGCAGACGAGGCGTGCACGATCGAGATCGACATGGCAACTGCGGTGCCGATCATCGTAGAGAGTTTCGACACAGAGGCATTTTTCGACTACCTCACAGTCAACGGACTGGAGTACTCTGGAACTTCGGGTCCCGATGGGGTCACTCCGACGGGGAGCATGATGTGGTCATCCGACTTTACAGTGCAGAGCAGCGGGTGGAGATTGTGCATGGCAACGCCTACCCCGGCGCTACCACCTACGCCTGCCCCGCCGCCGACGCCAGCGCCGCCACCGACGCCAGCGCCTCTGTGCGGCACCAAGGGCCCCGACGACACTCCTTGGGACTCGGAGCGCAGAGAGCGCATCGTGGGGGGGCAGGACGCCACGCCGTGCGAGTGGAGGTGGCAGGTCTCGCTCCGGTCTTCGTACCACTTCTGTGGAGGAGCGCTCATCGCCCCGACATGGGTCCTCACTGCTGCCCACTGCTTGGGGGGGTCTTTCTCCATCGTGGCGGGCAGCTACAGCCAGTTCACAACAGATTCGACCCAGGTGGTACTGCAGGTGCATCAGGTGCTTTCGCATCCAGAGTACGACGATTCGACCATGCAGTACGATTTTGCCCTGGTGGAGTTGGTGGATGCAGCGCCCTTGAGTGAATGCATTGGGTCAGCATGTTTGCCCAGTGAGGACGTCGCTGACGGCGAGGAGTGCTTCATCACTGGGTGGGGGACCCTCTCCTCTGGAGGGTCCTCACCCGACTTGATGCAGGAGGCGCAGGTGAACGTCGTGAGCAACACAGACTGCGGTGCTGCCTACGGCAGTGAGGCCATCACCGCTGACATGATGTGCGCGCAGGGCGTCAACAGCGCTGGGGAAGTCACCGACGCCTGCCAGGGGGACAGTGGCGGGCCGCTCGTCTGCGCTTCTGGCGGCGCTGCTTATTTCTTGCACGGAGTGACTTCGTGGGGCTATGGGTGCGCATCGAAGCAGTACCCGGGAGTCTGGTCTCGGGTCAGCTACGTGCGTGATTGGATCGACGAGCTGATGGGGTTGACTGCGCCGACACCAGCGCCTCCGCCAACACCGGCTCCCCCTCCGACGCCTGCCCCGCCGCCGACGCCAGCTCCCCAGCATATGTGGGTGGCCATCGTCGGCCAGTGCACCCTAGACGGCACCTGTGTGCAGAGCGCGAACTATCCGCAGGATTACGGTGCAGACGAGGCGTGCACGATCGAGGTCGACATGGCAACCGCGGTGCCGATCATCGTAGAGAGTTTCGACACAGAGGCATTTTTCGACTACCTCACAGTCAACGGATTAGAGTACTCTGGAACTTCGGGTCCCGATGGGGTCACTCCGACGGGGAGCATGATGTGGTCATCCGACTTTGCAGTGCAGAGCAGCGGGTGGAGATTGTGCATGGCAACGCCTACCCCGGCGCTACCACCGACGCCTGCCCCGCCGCCGACGCCAGCGCCGCCACCGACGCCAGTGCCTCTGTGCGGCACCAAGGGCCCCGACGACACTCCTTGGGACTCGGAACGCAGAGAGCGCATCGTGGGGGGGCAGGACGCCACGCCGTGCGAGTGGAGGTGGCAGGTCTCGCTCCGGTCTTCGTACCACTTCTGTGGAGGAGCGCTCATCGCCCCGACATGGGTCCTCACTGCTGCCCACTGCGTGGGGGGGTCTTTCTCCATCGTGGCGGGCAGCTACAGCCAGTTCACAACAGATTTGACCCAGGTGGTACTGCAGGTGCATCAGGTGCTTTCGCATCCAGAGTACGACGACTCGACTATGCAGTACGATTTTGCCCTGGTGGAGTTGGTGGATGCAGCGCCCTTGAGTGAATGCATTGGGTCAGCATGTTTGCCCAGTGAGGACGTCGCTGACGGCGAGGAGTGCTTCATCACTGGGTGGGGGACCCTCTCCTCTGGAGGGTCCTCGCCGGACTTGATGCAGGAGGCGCAGGTGAACGTCGTGAGCAACACAGACTGCGGTGCTGCCTACGGCAGTGAGGCCATCACCGCTGACATGATGTGCGCGCAGGGCGTCAACAGCGCTGGGGAAGTCACCGACGCCTGCCAGGGGGACAGTGGCGGGCCGCTCGTCTGCGCTTCTGGCGGCGCTGCTTATTTCTTGCACGGAGTGACTTCGTGGGGCTATGGGTGCGCATCGGAGCAGTACCCGGGAGTCTGGTCTCGGGTCAGCTACGTGCGTGATTGGATCGACGAGCTGATGGGGTTGACTGCGCCGACACCAGCGCCTCCGCCAACACCGGCTCCCCCTCCGACGCCTGCCCCGCCGCCGACGCCAGCTCCCCAGCATATGTGGGTGGCCATCGTCGGCCAGTGCACGCTAGACGGCACCTGTGTGCAGAGCGCGAACTACCCGCAGGATTACGGAGCAGACGAGGCGTGCACGATCGAGGTCGACATGGCAACCGCGGTGCCGATCATCGTAGAGAGTTTCGACACAGAGGCATCTTTCGACTACCTCACAGTCAACGGATTAGAGTACTCTGGAACTTCGGGTCCCGATGGGGTCACTCCGACGGGGAGCATGATGTGGTCATCCGACTTTGCAGTGCAGAGCAGCGGGTGGAGATTGTGCATGGCAACGCCTACCCCAGCGCTACCACCGACGCCTGCCCCGCCGCCGACGCCAGCGCCGCCACCGACGCCAGTGCCTCTGTGCGGCACCAAGGGCCCCGACGACACTCCTTGGGACTCGGAGCGCAGAGAGCGTATCGTGGGGGGGCAGGACGCCACGCCGTGCGAGTGGAGGTGGCAGGTCTCGCTCCGGTCTTCGTACCACTTCTGTGGAGGAGCGCTCATCGCCCCGACATGGGTCCTCACTGCTGCCCACTGCGTGGGGGGGTCTTTCTCCATCGTGGCGGGCAGCTACAGCCAGTTCACAACAGATTCGACCCAGGTGGTATTGCAGGTGCATCAGGTGCTTTCGCATCCAGAGTACGACGACTCGACTATGCAGTACGATTTTGCCCTGGTGGAGTTGGTGGATGCAGCGCCCTTGAGTGAATGCATTGGGTCAGCATGTTTGCCCAGTGAGGACGTCGCTGACGGCGAGGAGTGCTTCATCACTGGGTGGGGGACCCTCTCCTCTGGAGGGTCCTCGCCGGACTTGATGCAGGAGGCGCAGGTGAACGTCGTGAGCAACACAGACTGCGGTGCTGCCTACGGCAGTGAGGCCATCACCGCTGACATGATGTGCGCGCAGGGCGTCAACAGCGCTGGGGAAGTCACCGACGCCTGCCAGGGGGACAGTGGCGGGCCGCTCGTCTGCGCTTCTGGCGGCGCTGCTTATTTCTTGCACGGAGTGACTTCGTGGGGCTATGGGTGTGCATCGAAGCAGTACCCGGGAGTCTGGTCTCGGGTCAGCTACGTGCGTGATTGGATCGACGAGCTGATGGGGTTGACTGCGCCGACACCAGCGCCTCCGCCAACACCGGCTCCCCCTCCGACGCCTGCCCCGCCGCCGACGCCAGCTCCCCAGCATATGTGGGTGGCCATCGTCGGCCAGTGCACCCTAGACGGCACCTGTGTGCAGAGCGCGAACTATCCGCAGGATTACGGTGCAGACGAGGCGTGCACGATCGAGGTCGACATGGCAACCGCGGTGCCGATCATCGTAGAGAGTTTCGACACAGAGGCATTTTTCGACTACCTCACAGTCAACGGATTAGAGTACTCTGGAACTTCGGGTCCCGATGGGGTCACTCCGACGGGGAGCATGATGTGGTCATCCGACTTTGCAGTGCAGAGCAGCGGTTGGAGATTGTGCATGGCAACGCCTACCCCGGCGCTACCACCTACGCCTGCCCCGCCGCCGACGACAGCGCCGCCACCGACACCAGTGCCTCTGTGCGGCACCAAGGGCCCCGACGACACTCCTTGGGACTCGGAGCGCAGAGAGCGCATCGTGGGGGGGCAGGACGCCACGCCGTGCGAGTGGAGGTGGCAGGTCTCGCTCCGGTCTTCGTACCACTTCTGTGGAGGAGCGTTCATCGCCCCGACATGGGTCCTCACTGCTGCCCACTGCGTGGGAGGGTCTTTCTCCATCGTGGCGGGCAGCTACAGCCAGTTCACAACAGATTCGACCCAGGTGGTACTGCAGGTGCATCAGGTGCTTTCGCATCCAGAGTACGACGACTCGACTATGCAGTACGATTTTGCCCTGGTTGAGTTGGTGGATGCAGCGCCCTTGAGTGAATGCATTGGGTCAGCATGTTTGCCCAGTGAGGACGTCGCTGACGGCGAGGAGTGCTTCATCACTGGGTGGGGGACCCTCTCCTCTGGAGGGTCCTCGCCCGACTTGATACAGGAGGCGCAGGTGAACGTCGTGAGCAACTCAGACTGCGGTGCTGCCTACGGCAGTGAGGCCATCACCGCTGACATGATGTGCGCGCAGGGCGTCAACAGCGCTGGGGAAGTCACCGACGCCTGCCAGGGGGACAGTGGCGGGCCGCTCGTCTGCGCTTCTGGCGGCGCTGCTTATTTCTTGCACGGAGTGACTTCGTGGGGCTATGGGTGCGCATCGAAACAGTACCCGGGAGTCTGGTCTCGGGTCAGCTACGTGCGTGATTGGATCGACGAGCTGATGGGGTTGACTGCGCCGACACCAACGCCTTCGCCAACTCCGGCTCCCCCTCCGACGCCTGCGCCGCCGCCGACGCCAGCTCCCCAGTATATGTGGGTGTCCATCGTCGGCCAGTGCACTCTAGACGGCACCTGTGTGCAGAGCGCGAACTACCCGCAGGATTACGGAGCAGACGAGGCGTGCACGATCGAGATCGACATGGCAACTGCGGTGCCGATCATCGTAGAGAGTTTCGATACAGAGGCATTTTTCGACTACCTCACAGTCAACGGACTGGAGTACTCTGGAACTTCGGGTCCCGATGGGGTCACTCCGACGGGGAGCATGATGTGGTCATCCGACTTTACAGTGCAGAGCAGTGGATGGAGATTGTGCGTAGCACTTCCACCAACCCCGGCTCGCCCTCCCACGCCTGCCCCGCCGCCGACGCCGGTTCCCCAGCATATGTGGGCGGCCATCGTCGGCAAGTGCACGCTAGAAGGCACTTGTGTCCAGAGTGCGAACTACCCACAGAATTATAGCGCAGACGAATATTGCGCGATTGAGATCGACATGGCAACCGCGGTGCCGATCATCGTCGAGAATTTCGATACAGAGGCATTTTTCGACTACCTCACAGTCAACGGATTAAAGTACTCCGGAACTTCGGGCCCAGATGGAGTCACTCCGACGGAGAGCATGATGTGGTCATCCGATTTCATAACGCAGAGCAGCGGGTGGAGATTGTGCATGGCCACGCCTACCTCGGCTCCACCACCTACGCCAGCGCCTCCACCGATACCACCGCCGAGACCACCAGCACCAGCACCTGCATGCGGCGTCAAGGGTCCTGACGACACTCCCTGGGAAACGCATGGTGGGCAGCGCGGCGAGCGCATCGTCGGGGGGCAGGGCGCCACGCCTTGCGAGTGGAAGTGGCAGGTTTCCCTCTCGACTTCTTCTGGTGGCCACTTCTGTGGGGGAACGCTCATCGCCTCGACATGGGTCCTGACAGCCGCCCACTGCGTGGAGGGCTCTTTCTCCATCGTAGCGGGCAGCCACAGCCAGTTCACAACAGATTCGACCCAGGTGGTACTGAAGGTGCACCAGGTGTATTCCCATCCAGACTTCAGCGATTCGACATATTCTCACGATTTTGCCTTAGTGGAGTTGGTCGATGCTGCGCCCTTGAATGACTGCATTGGGGTCGCATGCCTGCCAAGTGGGGACGTCACTGGCGGCGAGACGTGCTTCATTACCGGATGGGGGACCCTCTACTTTGGAGGCTCCTCCTCTGACTTGATGCAGGAGGCGCAGGTGAGCATCGTCAGCAACTCGGACTGCGGTGCTGCCTACGGCAGTGGGATGATCACCGATTCCATGTTGTGTGCCCAGGGCGTCAACAGCGCTGGGGAAGTCACGGACGCTTGCCAAGGGGACAGTGGCGGGCCGCTCGTCTGCGCTTCTGGTGATGCTGCTTATGTTTTGCACGGGGCCGCTTCGTGGGGGGCCGGGTGCGGCATGGAGCAATACCCAGGAGTCTGGTCCCGAGTAAGCTACGCACGTGGCTGGATTGACGAGGTGATGGGGGTGACTCCGTCCCCGACGCCAGCGCCTCCCCCGACACCAGCGCCACTACCAGCACCAGCACCTGCATGCGGCGTCAAGGGTCCTGACGACACTCCGTGGGAAACGCATGGTCGGCAGCGTGGCGAGCGCATCGTCGGGGGGCAGGGCGCCACGCCTTGCGAGTGGAAGTGGCAGGTTTCCCTCTCGACTTCTTCTGGTGGCCACTTCTGTGGGGGAACGCTCATCGCCCCGACATGGGTCCTGACAGCCGCCCACTGCGTGGAGGAGTATCTGAAGGGCTTCGCCCTCTGCCGTCGACACCCCCCCTCTGACTGCCGGCATGGCCTCGCATGGTCGGCTTGTCGGCTGATTGACGTGCGGTCTAAATGGATGGTTGGCTTTTGGTGTTGGCTGGTTGCTGGCTGGCTGTCTGCACGCCTGTGTAATAACCAGTCTGAGATGATGGCCTCGGAAGCGCACCTCCATCGTACTTTACCAGTATTCGCAGCTCTGGAGCGCGCATCTCTTGCTATTTTAGTGTATTTGTGCCCTCGGGTTCAGGGCCGAGCTTGAAGGAAATGACGGGAGGCCGAACAGTGCACCCCGAACGCATGCCCCAAGACAGTGAGTGACAGTTGTTCGGCTCTGGAGAGGGAGGCTTTTTGGGGCAGTCTCCATTGGGTGTGTTCGTGGCCTCGGGGGCGTGGATCTGTCATCTTGTGAAAGTTGCTGCTGCCCCAGAGCGCGAACGTGTCATCATTTACAGCGGGTTGTGGCCACGGGAGTGCGATCGCGCCGTGATTTCACATGGACGGTTGCCTCGGGGGCCGCGACAGCGCCGCAACTTCCAATAGAATGTGGCCTCGGGAACGCGACTCTGCTGTAATTTGTCAGGGCTTGTGGCCTCGGGAGCGCGAACGCGCTGCAAACTACCGAGGATGACGGTTTCGGGAACATGAGCTCACTGTGCCAGTCATGCATTGCGGCCTTGGGAGCGCGAGCGCGTTGTAGTCTACTGCGAGTTGTGGCCTCGAGAAGGCGAGCGCGCTGAAAGCTATGAAGAGCTTGAGGCCCTGGGAGTGCGAACGCGATGTGTTTTTCCACGATGTGTTGCCTCGTACGATGGTACACATGGCTAATTTCTTCTTGTTCTGAAGTTCTCTTTGTTTTTTTGGGGGGCCAAAACCCTTTCATTTCTAATTGTTCCATCCTGGGCCTCCTGCCGGCCACTACGGGGGCGCGAGTAGTCTGCCATGTGCAGTAGACTTCAGATTTGGAGACGCAACCTATTCCGAGTTTCTTAATAAGCGTCGGGGGGTCGTCACCCCCGCCGACAGCCCCGCATCGACCCCCGTCGTGGGTAGCCACCGCGCGCCGAAGGCGTTCCGACCCCCGCCGCGGCGCGACGACGAGGCGAGGTTCACCCCCGTCGGGGGGGTAGCCCCCCACGCATATTCAGAAACCCGGAGTACACATAATAATTTGCAAAGGGGGTGTGTCTGCAGGAGCGCGAATTTGTTGCAATGTGCTCCGGGGGCGGGAGTATGTTACAGTAAGTTCTACAAAAGGTTGTGGCCTTGGGGCTGTGAATGTGTTGCGTTTTCTTCGGGCTTTCGGTTTTGAAGACGCTCCCATGCAACAGCACGAATGTGTATCCTCTCAATCTGCCCGATGCTTGTGGCCATTGGGGCCCAGGCGTTCGGCAGATTTTGAACATTGGTTGAGCACAGAGGCTGCCTCTTGGGCCGTGCGCCCTCGACACTGCGCAGCGGCGGGTCAGCAAGGTGCTGCACGAGTGCGGCCTCCTCGGCCCGCGCCTCGCGCTGCAAGCGGAGGAGGCCGAGTTCGAAAGGAGCCTTGCGCAGGTTGCGGATGCCGCAAACCTCAGCGCAGAGGAGGCGCGGCAGCCGCTGAGGGAGCTCGTAAATGGGGCCGTTGCTGAAAAACCCGTTCGGGAACTTTCGGGCGTGCCACGGTCGCTTTGGGCGGGCCATGCTGGAGGACGCCACGGCGGGCCTACGATTGACGGACGACCGAGGCACGGCCGAGGCCCCACCGCCGCCAGGAGCCGGCGCGATGGCAGAGGCCCGTTTCGCGAGGAGGTGCCGCGCGGCCGCGGAGGAGGGCCGGCGTAGACCGGAGGTGCAGGAAAGGGTTCGGTGGAAGCCTCGCCTGATCGCGCTGCTCGAGGAGATGAGAGCGCCCTCCTTCGAGACGGTGCAGACCTGCATGGACCCGGAGCGGGCGAAAGACGGTACCATGGGTCGCGCGCGCATTAACGCGGTGAAGTCGTACGTGCGTGCCGTGGAGACGACGCGCAGGTGGCTTCTGCGCGCTCACGAGGTCCCGTGGCCCGTGACGATCGTACACTTCATAGACCGCGCGCACGCCAGGGCGGCCGAGCCGCGCGGGCCGACGATACCCAACCCGACGTTGCGCGCATTGGTCTGGACGGAGCGGGTCGCAGGTATCGATGCGAGCGATGGGCTCTCCGCCCGGCCAGAGGCGCAGCAGATCCTCGCAAACGTGGAGATGCTCCTCAACGCGGGCAAGGGACCGACGATGAGGGCAGCACGTTTCCCTGGCGCGTTCATCGGAGCCATGGAACGGCTGGTCATGGACGACGGCCTCGCGCCGTACCTGCGCGGGGTCGCGTGGCTTCGCCTTTTAAAGGCGTGGGCTGTGCTGCATTACGACGACGCGACGACAGCTGGCTCCCGCCGCAGCGTCGCGCTTTCGTGGGCGGAGGGCTGACGGCCACTCCGGGACGCAGGGGGGCCAGCGGAACAGGGCGCAAGATGCGGGAGCTGCTGCTCGTGGTATCCCGAGAATGCAACATGATGGCCCTAACATGGATCCAGGTGGGCTTCGACCTGTGGCAGGAGATCGCAGATTTCGAGAGCGACTACTTTCTGCCCGGGCGCGGCGATTCGGCGCTGGCGACAGTCCGCAAGCCTGCCAGGCACGCCGAGGCATCGGCAGCGGATTAGATGGTACTCCGGAGGATGGTGAAGCCAGCGGCGTGCACACGGGAGGAGATCGAGCTCCTCCTCTCCGAGGAGGGAGCGGGCGACGACCCCCTCGGCCACGGCGACAATTTGGGCCTCGAAGAGCGACCGCGACGCACCTGGGCAGGCGGTCGCCGGAGGGGGCGGACACCTGCGCGAGGACATGCCGCGCGGCCGTGACCAGGCCTCAGAAGCATTTCGCGGATGTGCTGCGTTCAGGAAAGTCCTGCGCCGCGCTGGACGAGTCGGCGGCCATCCCAGATCCGGCGAATTGGCCGACGCTGAGGAATAACTTCTCGGTGCAGAAAGCGGCGAGCGGGGCAGCGGAGACCCTCGGAGCCCTCGAGACCCGCGCTGGCGGGTTGGCGATGGCCCCGCAGGACTACGAGGAGGGGCTGGGCGGGACAGCAAACCCAGAGGCCGCCGTTGAAGACGGGGAAGGGGATGACGTCGCACCAGCGGCGGAGACGGTGACGCGCCCGCGAAAAGTGCCAAATGCAGATCACGGACGCGACGGCGCCGACGAGGGCAGCCGGGGGGGGCGCGGCTGGGCGAACAGCATGTCGCCGCTAAGCTCGACCTATATTATCCCGACGATGTGCCGGGCCCAAAGGATAACGGCGTGGTCAGCCAGATGAAAGACGCTCAATTCCGGCCGAGACAGCGAATGCTGCCGACAAGGACGACGACTCGGGCAGGTCGTCGAGCTCCGCCAGCTACGACGGGTCAGAGGGGCCGCCGCGGGGGAGGCCGCGGGCGGCGGCGGCGGGCTCCGCGCGACCTCCAGGGACAAGGGCGCGCCAGCCCTCGCCCCCCCCCGCTGACGGAGCTGGGCGCCGGCAGCGGAGGGGCCCCGCGGGGCCCGTCGGAGCGGGCCACCCTTAATCTAGTCGACTACACGTATGAGTGACCCTTCGCCGGAGTGACCTCTGGCGCTGGCCCATAGGGCGTCGGGGGATTTTTCGGGTGGAATGAGCTTGACCTCGCGTCGGCACCCGCGTCGCGCTAGCATGCGCTCGCATCCGAGCGCGCCAGGTTTGGGCCCACCCCCTGCAAAAAAACAGCAACGCATGCGCGTCGAACCCTACAGCTTGCACTGGTTACCCGAGGGGGGGCCGGTCGACCAGACGGCGCGTTTTCCGGCCCAGGACCAGCCCCGAATCCCAGCCCAAACCCCAAAACGTTTGGCTTGAATATCTTTGGAGATCTTTGAATATATTTGAATATCTTTGGATATCATCGAAAATGTTTTTTCTCGAACCAATGGGGGTCTTTGTATTATAAGTTATCCAAAGATATTCAAACATCTTCTGGGCTCTCGGACGGGGCCGGTTCTGGCCGTGGCGCCCGGCCTGTTCAGACGTCGTCGCGACGCAGCACGGCAGTGCCGGACCTCATCGCGGTGGCCCCCGGCAGCGTCTGCGTTCGCGGGCCCTTCGAAGTGCCATTCGGGGCGCTCGAATTCAACCGGCGGAATTCCGCGGTTGCCCCGCTGGCGCAAAAACTCCTTCGAGTGGCGCCCCGCCGATCGTTGATGCAGCGCGGCAACGCCGGTTTGCGCGATTGCGTTGGGCCCCCATGGGCGCCCCTGAAGCCGCGCACCTAAGGTCGCTGTAGCCTAAGGTCGCTCCCACGTGTATTCGATCGAGGCACGAGCGAGCCCGAGGTCGCGTCCGCGCGCCAGCGGGGCGCCCGACGCAACTCCCGCACCCGCGTCAGGAAGGGTCAGAGATAGTCCAGTGTCGGCAGAGGTGGGCCGCGCCCGGGCGAAAGCATGTGGCTCGCCCTGGGGGGGGGCCGCAAATTCCCCGTCGACTGGCGCGATGCCGACGCGCGCCCCGCCCGCGGGCCCCCGCCCGCCCCGGGCCCCGGGCCGCCGCGGGAGGGGGCGCCATCGCGTTGGAGGGGGGGGGGTGGGGGGGGCCCACGGCAGACGGGTAGGGCTTCGGGGCCGCGCCGCATGTCGCCATCGCTCTGCCGAGCCCAGGAAACCGTTGCACGGGCCGCATCTGTTCTGCCGGCCTGGACTGCATGCAGTCCAAGCCGTCTCACAAAGCCCGCGCGGCCCCCGGCGAACCGCGGCGTCGCCTGCGCGACCCTGCGGGAGGGGCGCCTCGGGAGCGCGCCGCCGAAACTCGCGCAGGATGAGTGGGGGAGTGCGCTCGAGCTGCCGAACTCGGATCTGCGCTTCCTCTTCTCGCAGAAAAGAGTTTCGCAGCGGCGCAGGCGTTGCTGCGCCCCCGCGGAGTGGCGAGCATGAGGAAGTCCGCCGACGTGAT